TTAGATAGGAACCCCTCGTGATCTAGTATTAGAGTAGTTCAGTAGTAGTAACCCTAAGTAGCTAGGATTAAGATTATTCTAATGATGATGATGATGATGATCATGATGATGATGATGATGAACATTAATGAACTGAATAGGGAACACCAAGAGAGGTGGAGCCAGGATGCCCACACACTATCATGTCCCATGGTTCAACACTTGCATGGAATCACAAACTGGACTGGCTCATACTCCTCCTCCTCCTCATCATGGAGGTTGCCCTCTACATCATAGGTCCATTCTATCGCTTTGTAGGCGCCGACATGATGTCCGATCTCAAATACCCCATGAAAGACAACACTGTCCCCATTTGGGCTGTTCCCGTAAGTCACGGTCCCACACTTTGCAATTCAAAGGTTTACGTTTACCATGGGTGTTTTCTCATTTTGAGCACCTTCACACTATGATTGGCTCAAGGATTTTGAAAGGGAAAAGAAAAGAAAATGAGACGGAGAACTATGATTGGTTCTAGCAAAATTACTCCCATTTTGGTGAGGAAAGCGAGAGAAAATCATTTTCTTTTCGTTTCCTTCCAAGTTCCTTGAACCAGACATAGTGTATGGCGCACGACAGCCAAATTATATGTGGGCTTTTGTTACTTTTTTTTTGTAGTGAGAGCTGAGAGGCAATGCGTTTGTTATATGTGAAGTTTCTTCTTCCTTTTTTTCTTTTGCTGAAAGAAGAGATTTAGTCAATAATGTGTGTGTCAATGAACAGATCTATGCCGTTCTTTTGCCTATTGTCATCTTCGTTTTCTACTATCTGCGAAGGAAGGATGTCTATGATCTACACCACAGCATACTAGGTAATAATACACACACACACATGACGCATTAGGGGGTAGGACCCACTTCAGGGTCGAATGAAGCATCCGTAGGGCCCTCAAATGGCCCAGTGTCATAATATGACACCCATATATGTCAAGTGAAGTCATTCCACACATATGGAATGTGACACTTGAGAGGAAACTATGTACTTTTTTGAGCTTATAGACTTCTTGATTGAGTTTCTAACAATAATTTTCTTGCATGAACATGAGTTTGCAGGGCTTCTATTTTCTATACTTATAACTGCTGTGATGACGGATGCCATAAAAAATGCCGTGGGTCGGCCTCGGCCTGACTTCTTCTGGCGTTGCTTTCCGGACGGACGGGATGTAAGTAAGAAACCACAAGGCTTAACTTTATTGTCATTACAATTGGAATTTCACAATGTTTTTTTGGCAATATGTTTGACATTATACATCCTGTTTTTGTATTAAAACATTGAATGCCTTATTTTGGTATACGAAACATGTTTTAGTCCTAAGTCGGTATTTCTCCCAAAACTTTAACCATTTGATCTTAATGGGGTTTTAAAAAATTCGTCCAAGTTTATATGTGCAAAGCATGAAATCAATGGTGGTGTCAATCATAAGGCTATTTGCTTTGCATATACTCCATCTCTTCCATACTTATCTTCATACTTTTCTTACTCTTTTCAGCTTTATGATCGTTGGGGCAATGTGATATGCCATGGTAAAGAGAGTGACATAAAGGAAGGACATAAGAGTTTCCCAAGTGGTCACACTTCATGTAAGCTTTTTACTACCTCCGTCCCGATGTTTTTGTCCCGTTTGGCATTTTTGAGACAAACTGGACAAACTTTGAACATCAATTATTGTCAAAACTAGACAAATACACATGGACAAAGGGAGTAGTTTTTTGTGTTTTTTTTGGTTTTCAAAAACTAAAATAGAGATGCTTCCGCTAGACCCTTGATATACACACACACACACACACACACACACACACACACACATACATATATATATTATTACATGAAACTTCATAGAAAATAAGAATGAAAGTTTGATATGTCATGATTTAGTCAATTATTTATTCGAAATGTTAGAGTCTTTCCCATATCGGAAGTTAAATAGAAAAGTTATCGGTATATAAGTTCTTGAGTTGAACTAAGTAATCGATTGAATTCAATCTTTTAAGGCGGTTCAACCCAAGTGTCTTATTGCCCAATCTAGTTGTCCCTACCCCAACCTAAATTCTATCAAGAAACCAGAACATAGTCAAAATGATTCATTCCTTTACATGTGAATGGACAATAAAACAATGTTTTAAGATGAGATTATTTATAAATTCATTTATTTACTGCAGGGTCATTTGCAGGACTGGGTTTCCTAGCCATGTATTTAGCAGGAAAAATCAAACCATTTGACAGGAGAGGGCACATAGCAAAGCTGTGTATAATATTTCTTCCTCTTCTGGCGGCCTCTCTGGTTGGCGTTTCCCGCGTGGATGACTACTGGCATCATTGGCAGGACGTCTTTGCCGGGGCCCTCATAGGTTCGTTCCGTTATCGCTCATACGCTTGCTACGTGGCCCGCTTCAACGTTGACCGGATTATCGGGTCAACTCGGAAGCGCCTATATAAGTTTATATCAATTCTGGAAGCACAGACATAGACATATACTTACTTCCTCTGTCTCCAAATAAACTTTACAGTTACTATTCTGGGCTCACCATAGCCTTTGTCTGTTTACGTGTTTTCATTGGTCGTGTGATAAGATGAAATATCCTTTTCACACCTTATTTCGAAAAAAACGTTTGATGCATTTTTTTAAATATGTAAGTTTTACTTTTTATTTATTTGGAGACAGAAAGAGTAAAAGCCGTTATGCTTTTTTTATACTCTAATTGTTATGTTTATTAATTTTCAGGTCTTGTTGTGGCAATGTTCTGCTATCTGCAATTTTTCCCGCCCCCATATCATTCTCAAGGTATGTACCTTATAAAAGGTCAATTTTTTGATTTTGCCAAACAAAATTATTCCCTTGAGTCTCAGAAAGACTTTCCTGTTGCGGGTTATGCTGTCTGAATGAAGTTATTTTTAATTTGATTATATGAAAGTTAGTGTAAAATTTAAAAATGAAATTTATATTTAGTACGGAGTAAAAAAAGAGTTGTGTAGACATTTCTTGGGTACTAACAATTATTACTCCCTCCGTCCTTGAATATTTGTCCACTTTTGACTTTTTTCGATCAAAATTGGTAAACTTTGACCTCAAATTAAATAAAAAGGATATTAGATATTGATACAAATATAGTTTAATTAGATTTATTATATCAAATATTTTCAAAATATTATTTTAATATCATTTTTGTTGTTGGGTCAACAGGCTGCACTCCGTATGCATTTTCTCGGGCCGTGGAAGAGTTCGTAAGTAATTCGCAAACAAGGCCGTATGCAAATGGGCCAAATGCACTGTTAGCGTTGCCGCCTTCTGATCGGCCCATTTTCAGTGATCCATTAGATTTTGCCGAGCGGGGCCGGGGTCAGAGAAACGACCTTTGATTTGGAGAAATGCTAAAAGTCAGAAGCAAAAATGTCACAGAGTGCATAAATTTGTCATTTGCGATCTCGTGAAAAGAATGAAATGGTCTCAGAAATTTTAAAAAACGTGATAATTTAAATTCGCAAATGGTAAATTTGTCCATTCTGTGACAATTTTATTTGTGGCCTTAGCATTTCTCATGATGTGGTAGAAGTTTCGTGCGTTGAGGGCCTTTTTCCTGTGAATATTTAGCCGAACACGTGATTTAGATAAGAAAGGAGTTCAAAAAAGGTAATGCTTAGGTTCGATTCTCAAAGGTAATGGGTAACAACGAGTAACATGAAACTCTTGTATGTACTAGGACAAATCTCACATGTTATTGTTCATTGATTGCAACACTTGCCCATTATTAATGAATTCTTAATCCTATGGTTATGTATGGTTTTTTCATCCTAATACAATTTCCAGTTTTGAAGCATTTTCTTTTCTTTGTTAACACATTTGAAGCACCATTTTATAGATATCTTAATAAGGGTATGCTTCATTGCATTATTGGGATAAAAAATGGCTTGAGACAATTATGGTGCTCCGTTGGTAAAATTGATGATTCTTATTCTTTTAACGTTATGCATTTCTTTCCTTGATCGCGCACTTTGGCGATCAAAGAGAGGCAGTGAGCTTTTGAAAATAGGTAAGAACTATTAATTTTATCAACAGAACGTGACTCGTTTCATATTATAAATAGGGTTATCAAAATTTGAAATTTTTTCGCATGAATAAGATGTTGGACTTTTCTCCGAAAGAAAAAAAAGATGTTGGACTCTCTCTCTCTCTCTTGGGGTTATGAATGATGCACATTTAACATAAAAATAGAGTTTTGTGTAAAACTTTATTCAAATTTCATTTTGAATTACGTATTGGTGATTCTGAAACAACGTATTTTGAATCAATATACGGAGTAGTATTTATTTTGAAATTTTATTTTATTATAAATTTACCATAATGTATGGACCTACGATTATACCTTACACTGTGTTTGGATGGAGGGAGGTAGAGGTAGAATAAGGTAGAAATTTAGAACTGCCTTGTTTGGGAAAGAAATTGAGATAGGTGAGGGGAGGTGGATGGAGGTAGCTTTACCGCATAACAGTGCAATTTGGGCTACCGCCAATTCCCCGATCAAATTTATGCCTTCCTCTCTGCCCTTCTCTTTTCTTTCTCTTTCATTTTTTTTCTTCTTTCTTCTAGGCTCCAGGCCTTCGGGGCAGATCCTATCCGCCGGAACTGTAGATCAGCGGCCCGGTGCCAACATCTCCGTGCTTCCCCCCCTTACCGGAATTCCAGCAGCAGAAAAGATCAGTGGAGAACGAGGACAGAGAGAAAAAGAGAAAGAAACGGAGGAGAAAGAAAGGGAAACAGGGTGGAAGAAGAAAGATGGAGAACGTAATTAAAAAAAAAGGGGGAGAAAGAAAGAAACAAGATGGGAAAAGAAGAAAACACAATTCCAACCAAGTAGGGGTATTTAGGTATTTTTATCATTTTCTTACCTCATGTTACCTAATAAATATCTAAACACAAATTTTCACATTATTACCTTACTTTACTTACCTAACCCACTTTTAAGTACCTCCAACCTAACCCACTTTCGTAACACTATCACCCCACCCTAACCCCTTCCCATCTCCCCCCTCTATCGAACCTCCCCGCCCCTCAGCCCCAGTTCAACCCCCAAGTTCCTAACCCCTTCGTAAACCCCTTCTCACACCAGACTCCTCCCGCACAGAGCCTGGCTAAGCGGAGAGAGAGAGAACACTGGAGTTCAACAATGGTGCGCGACTCTTCATATTTCTTGCCTTCCATTGATGCCATTATTGCTTTTTTTAAATGACCTTTCGTTTTCGTTTTGAATTCGAATTCCTCCTCAGGACGATTCCACCGATGAACTCGATCCGCTCTTCGATTATCGCCGCGTCCAGCCTTTCAATGTCGTCTGCCTTGACGGTATGAGCGCGCTCTCTCTCCGCCTGGATTTGTGTTTATCGCTTTACCTTTTCTTCTTTAAATTAATTTATTTGACTGTTTTTGTAATTCTCCCTAAATTTGGAAGACGATAGCCCCGATTCATCGCCAGTAGCTGGTAAGAAGAGGCCGAAAGTCGGCAGTTCCGCTGTAAGAATTTCGAGTTATTGATGAAATTGAGCTCTTCTTATACCGTCTTGTGTATTTATTGAATTTGATTTGATATTAGAATGAAAAGAAGCCGGAAGATAAAGATGTAATTCAATTAGTAGACTGTGAGGATAAAGAGGATGAAGAATGGCTGCGGCCACCGCCAATGACTTCATCTAATGCCAAAGCGCCTTGTGAGAATTCGACCATAAAGGAAATAAGGTGCTTTCACAATGAACACTCTAATGTTTGATGAAATGTGCTCATGAAGAACAAACTTGACATGGGATTGGTAATTTGTGTGCTCCGACTTCCAAGTTCTGTTTATGGTCTACTTATCATGCTAATGAGTGTCATACTTCAAAAGTTGAAAAACATGATGGTAATCTCTTTCCAAATTTTTTATGCTCACTCAAATGACCAAAAATAACTTGTTGGTCACTTGTCATCGACTATCCCTGAAACTAAAGTGGACTATATTATGCTATAATACCATGGTAAAGTTCATGAATGGACTGGTGTCATGTAACTAAACAATAAATCACTTCGGTGAGATAAGTGAGAGAGACTGAGACCACAATATAAGTTTCAAACTCTCAATCTAATCATTTGGGTAGTTTAACCTGGGTCTTGAAAACTCCACATTTTCTTTAATATGCTACATGGGAATATGGGATCTTAACAATAACATATATGATTTATAACCTGCCAAAATTTAACAGGCTTAGCTTGGTGATTTGATATCTATGAAGTAGTGTCAATAATGTAAAATGTAAGGGCATGATGTGAGTTTCACATTGGTTCACGATTGATGAACTATTTCTATCTGATATTTCTTTGGGTGCTCCCTTGTGTTTTTTTAACTTCTCTAACTCTTTCGTATGAAGAAATATGACACATCATGAAATACTATCAGGCATTCTGCCCTTCTTGATAGTACACTTGGGAAACTTCAGAACTTGGAAATAAAATTTTGATGAAGGAATATCTCATTCATTTTATTGAACCAAGTATTTTTGAAGAATGAAACGTCAGGGTCTAATTGTTTATAGTCTGCTTGTTTCAGTATTATCTTCTGAACTGTCAAGTCAATTCGTATTATTTGCTTTAACACTTGTTTTCAGCTCTATTTTTGAACACATTTTGTGAATTGTAACTTCTACTTTTGACCTTCTTCTAATAATATATATGGCTGTTCATAGGTTGAAAAAGAAGGAGCTGGCATCCATAGCTGAATCTGCAAAGGAAGTGATACGAGATGTTGAGGAATCTGTAAAAAAAGATCTTAGCAATAGCACTTCATTGCATTCAAGTGAAGAGACTGTAGCAGACCAGAAGAAAAAACCATCCAGTGAAAGAGCTAAAATAGTTATTTGTATTCAAGATAAGGATGGATCCAAACCATATCGTGTTTTCAAGGTATCATCTTGCCAATTCCTAGCTAATTAGAGTGTGAACATGGAATTTGCATGTCAGTTATCGTAGCAGTAAACGATGATGATGACAATTTCTAATATAACCACATTATTCCTTTGTAAGAGTTTTGTGGCAAGAAGGCATCCGGCGTAGAACATTTTTATTTGTCGCTGTCCTGTTTTCACATCACAGACCCCAAGTAGTTTAGACTAAGCCGGTGATGATGGTATCAATAGAGATGTCAACGCTTCTAATATAAGTGCCAGTGGAATTAATTTGTGGTTTGATTTTCTTGGTGTTGCTAAGAATCCTAAGATTATGACAATGTCATATACTGTTACTCTAGACTGGGGAAGTTTGTTTTGCTTTGGGACTGACTTGCGTATCTCTTTTGTTTTAATGTTGAACTCAGTATCTGGAATTATGTGTATTTGCTGTTGATTCTATGAAGCTCTCAAAAGTCATGCCCTTGTGCAAATGCTAATAAATTGTGTTTATTCTCCTAAAGTAAATGTTTCTGAATGGTTTGCTTCTTGAAATTTACTAAATTGTCACCGCTAGGCCTAGTATGGGCTAGTTGACAGTTTTCAGTTTTTTGTTTTTACAATATACTTCATCTATCCTACAAATTTCTCTCCACTTCCTTTTTGGGCGGTCTTAAAATTTACTTCCCATTTCACTTTCAAATCAACAACAATCACACAATTTCTCTTTAAAAGAAAATGTGTCAAGTCAACAATCCAACATGAGAAGTTAATTTAATGATGGAGGGAGAATGTTGTATAAGAATCCAAAAGCAATCATAGGTATTGTAATCATGTTCAGTCAGAAAGCCCACGACAAAAAACTTAAAAGACACTTTATCTTGTTTCTGGTTTCAAAAGGACTGAAATACTTGTGTTTAAGCTTTGGTACATGTATTGCATCTCTTTTTGTCCTAAATGTCTGCTTATTAGGTGTTCTTGAACTTTATACATTCAAATATAATATGTAAAATGTATTTTTAAATTAAAATATTTTTCTTTTGTTAATGTAGGATGATCCGTTTGAGAGAGTTTTCCAAATATATGCTGAGAAAGCAAGGATTAGTTTGCAAAACTTAATCTTCCGTTTTGATGGGGACAAAATTAGTCACACAGTGACTCCTAATAGCCTCGGGATGGAAGACAATGACATTGTTGAAGTGTATGTAAAACCCAGCTGATTCAGGTAAATGAGTGTTGTGTCTTTTGTAATCATTGATTAAGAACAAGTTGCATGATCTTTAATGATATATATGTATGTATGTATGTATGTATGTATATATACATATATATCCACACTCCGTCCAACAATTATCTTCCCATTGCGCGTTACGATTTTTGATTGAAATTATTTTTAAATCATTTTATATGAAAAATGGTGAGGAATTAAAAAATAAAAGCGACATATTTAAACACTACATTAAAAGTTCTACAAAAATAGAGGCGACATGCCTATATTATTTTATCAAATAGACAACAAAAATACGCCAAAAAGTGTATAAAGTATGACCCTGTGAATAGTGAACGGGAAGATAATTGTTAGGTGGAGGGAGTATATATCATCTTCTCATTTGAGTAAGCTCTGTAGGTTCGTCTTCTTAGAGATCATTATGGATTTATGGTGACTAGGGAAATGCAATTAGAGAAAGGATGTAGGCAGTGGATATTTTGGATTTGTGGCAAGAAAGCTTATCAGAAAGCACCATAGGATATATAATGCTATGTAGTGCATTATATAAACCAAACAAGTGGGATAAGTACAGTTTTGTTAATTTTAAATAAGAATATTATATACGGAGTATGATACAGACTGCAGTTCAACCAGAACCCAGCTAGATCACACAAGACTAGGGTCTGGGGATTTGATTCAGACTACATTGTTTATGATAATTAATACCCCACAATTATCTAGGACATTGTTTTTGTACTACGTATTTCTTTATCACTTTATACTCTTCCCTTTTAAAAGTTCAATTTCAAGCATTGTTTTCTATAAAAAAAACACCCCTTTCCCTTCAGCATCACCTCCTTAAATGCATGCCTGGCAGCCTGTAAGAGCTGTTTGTAACCTGCAATGTGCTAGGGAATAACTAAGGAAAATTAGAAAAGAAATAAATAATTGCTTAAAATTCACTAATTCAATTTAATGTTTGTTCAATCTCATATTATATTATTGTGCATCATTCTTATACAAACTATAAACATTATACTTTGTATGAACTATAAGAACAAGATATTGCTATATCCATAAAGTTTTAAGTGATTTTGATCATTTTGAAATGCGCATTCACATAATTTATCCCCAAAGGGTTTATTCCTAAAAATGCGCGCAAAATTAATTTAAAAATCAAACATGAAAAAGTCATGTGTCTTAGCTTCTCTTCCACCCTCTTCTTTCTTTCTATAGCATTTCTCTTTGTTCCTCGTAGCTTTTGTTTTCACTGAGACACATTTCTTTCGGATGCCCTTTGTGCCCTGACTTCTCTTCATACACATTTCAGGTAGCAGTTTCCCTTCGGTGCTAAAAGTGATTAAATGAAACTTGCCGCACACATTGAAGATTTTTCACAATTTGTATAGTGAGTGCTACTTTTGGAATTATATGACACAATTCTTGGAGAAACCTTCATTGTGGGAACTAAGGTCACTTGGCTTGCTGAGATTGCTTATCATGTCCTTCACTTTTTGTCCCCCTCCCCTTTTTTTTGGTGAGATATGAATGCTTCCTTTATGCTCCCAATGTGTCTCTTACAGATGTGCTACTTTCCCAATGGGGTTTGATCCCTAACACTATGTTTGGCTCAAGGATTTTGGAAGGAAAAGAAAAGAAAATGATTTTCTCTCATTTTCCTCACCAAAATGGAAGGAATTTGGTTTTCCCTCCACTTGGTACATTTTGCCTCCTCATTTTCTTTTCCTTCCACTTTTCCTTTCTTTTCCCCTCTAACCAAACAAGAAAAATGGTTTTCCATTTCATTTTCTTTTTTTCCCTTTCAAATTCCTTGAACCAAACATAGTGTAAAGGAGTTCAACCAATTTTTTGACAATTTAAAACGGGTCATGCCATTCGTGCATCATTTTCTTACACTTTCTTTTGCACCGACTTCGCACCAACATGAAGATTTTTTTCGTCATGGTCGTATTCGTGCTGCACGATAAAGTTGTGCAATCATGGTAGCTAGAGAGCCTTGTGATTTGAGGTAAATATTTTTTGTGTGGATTTTTAAGCCCCAATTGATGAAATATAGTGGCAATCTTGCAATTTTTGTAATCTAAATAGTTCTTTAGGGACCATTTGATTCTATTTCTTTGTTTTGGCTATTCTCATTCTTATAGTCAACTATTTGAAAATTAGTAATTTGTTTGATTCTGAAGAGTCAGTTTTTTGTGAGTAGAATCAATAACGGACCCTACTCAAAATCTGAGACAATTACAATGTCAATTGATTCTAGCTGATTTCGAGAATCACAATGGCATAATCAATAGAATAAAGTATGGGAAAAAATCAAACGAGGTCTTATCTAATCCTCGACCCATGATTAGATCGACCGCTAGGTAAGTCTTTCATTGTTTCGAAGAAACGAGTTCGCAAGTTTTTTTTGTTGATCTTTGCCACAAGGGTATAATAGATTAATTCACACAATAAGTTTACTGTCAAAGAAAATTATGGTTTTTGAGCTTAGCTTTGCTTGCATGCATCTCATTGCGTGAATAAGACTCTTATGTGATTGTCTCTTGTAAAATGGCGTTTTGACGAACTTTTCCTTTTCATTTTTTTATTTGTATTCAAAAGCAATATATTTGAACATAATAAAAAATAGTACTCCCTTGATCTTCATTTTAGTGCCTAGTTTGATCGGTATAATGTAAATTTGGAAGAAAGAGAAATATTGTGTGAGATATATTTTTTCTTTCGAAGAAAATGACCATAACTTAATGACCAATTTACTCCATATATGTCAAAAAGGTGGAGAGATTGATACTTTGATGTAAATGTAAGTATGTGGATAAGTGTTTGTTAATTAGCCTGGCCGTCTTAACAACCATTAACAAGCACAAGCAACTATTGGCATGATGTTTGTTAGCTCATATTATTAATAAAGAAGCAAACCCTTCTCCAACCATTTTAAAATCATTGTTTCCTGCCTTCTGCCTGAGTGGCCGATATCTAATGAACAAAAAAGCTTGTTAGTTCACCTACCTATTAGTTTCTCTTATGTTATCTATTCACGATTTATCTATAATCTATTACATATATAATCCGTCATTCGATTCATTTGTCATATGTGTAAATGGAATTAATAATAACTTGTTAATAACTCAATCTCCCTCTGTTTCTAAATGAATTATACTTTATGCAAAATAAAGTAAAATTCTAGTTTTTTTTCAAATTATTTTGGTTAAAAATTGGTATAAAATAAAAAAACTTGTATATTCAAAAAGTACATTAAAAATTTTACAAAATACGAGGTGACATGAATATTTTATTTAATCAAATAATTAATGAAAATATTTAAATAAATAAAAGTTCCCATAATTTTTGAATAATGAATAATGTAAATTTTTGTGGGACGGAGGGAATAGAATTCTATTACATTGTAATAAAGAAAACAATTGTACATTAATAAAACACTTATTTTGTTTGACAAAAAGATTCATGTCTTGAAGTTTATAGGTTTGTATCATGAAGTCATGAATCCACCTTAAAATACTCATTATTGAATCACGAATTCTAGTAAATGTAGAGTAACTTCCGATAGTATTAGTAGCTTTTTTTACTTTATTTAAGAGAAAGAATTGAAGAGTTCAGATTATTAGAAACGCTCTCACTAATACCGCTTGAACTTTGTTCCCTAGAATTGACTTCACCCTTTTCTTGCCCAGCTTAGGTGGAAGGCAAAGAAGGCCTCCTTCTCGAAGGCTCGAGCCCTTGGTGTGATGCCACTCCGCATCTGTGAGATTTTTAATACATCACTTACAAACTTAAACTGTTCAGCTAAATTAAAGAAATTTTTGCGAAATATTTTTTGCTTTCTTTAATTAATACTTTCCTCCTATATTAATTATCCATTATGTGTCTCTTGATATATTAAAAAATAAACAGAAGTAAACATACCTTATGTCCACATTCATTCAATTTTTGATGTACTTATAAAGTGTTAATAAACAGTTAATATATACAACGATGGGAGTATTAAATATAACATACTCTCTGTGTTCAAAAAAGATTCGTCTGTTATTGTTTACGAGATCACATAAGTTATTTTCAATTCAATTTATTTAAAAACAGATAAGAAACTAAAAAATACGGAGTATAATTTATATATTTCAAAAGTACAGAGTACATCAAAAGTCCTCCAAAACAAGAGGTCATAAAATACTACCTCCGTCCGCTATATTCGTCCACTTTTGACTTTTGGAACTGTTCATCTAAGCACTTTGACTCATCAAATTTTCTCAATGTGTAAGCCTAAATATAGTCATGTGTGATCTTGTTTGATAACGTATACTACGTAGATTATTAATATATAATTTCTATAATTTTTTTATATGCAAATTATAAGATAAAATGGATTAAAGAAGTGTATTGGATTGTGTGTAAAAATGAAAGTAGACAAATACTCTGGGACGGAGGGAGTAATACTCTATATGTCCTAATTTATCTTCTTTATTTTTTTTTGGGTTATCTAAGTTAACCTTTCTCTTTTCTTTTTTTGGGAAAGCTTTTCATGACTAGCATTTTTATCTGTGTTCTGCATCTCTTTCAACCACATAATTTAGTTTTTCTTAAATTCTATATAATGTTAAATTAGGAATATTAATTTGGAATGGAAGGAATACTATTTTTTTCAAATGAGTCACAAAGATAAGTCAAAAATATATTTAAAGTTTTATTATTGTGTACGGACATGGTGCTAATTTGACTAGCTCTCCCGCTCTAAATTATGAATGTCCAAACGAATTCTGTTAACAGTTTTCCCGGGCTCGCCGAAATTCCGAAATTACCCCTCTCTCATTGTCTTCTCCGTTGATTCCTTCTCTCCCCCCAAGTATATACACAGTCCATAAACCTCTCTTCCCCATTTCATCCCTTCCATTCTCTCTCTATCTCTCTCTACATTTCTCTCTCACGCTCTCTAGACCTCAAACTCGCAATTCTTGTCTTGAATTGAAGAACTTCGGATGAATCAATCGAATCTGCTCGAACTCGATCTTGTTATTCCATCAGGTGCGATAGATTTCTCTTTTTTGCAGTGTATGTTCATCGTTTTCCTCATCGATTTTGGAGTTTTTTAATTATAAATTCGCGTTCATGATCTTTAATTAATCTTCGCTCGCTTGGATTGATTCGATGATGATCTGTTTGCAGCAATGGCAGAAGATCGTTAGTTAGTTACGGATCGAGAAGGATTGGCGCGTGTTTGAGACGCGATTCCAGAGAGATTTAACCGCCGTCGGCCGGTTTCGGAGCAGCAACAATGGAGTACGATTATGTGTTGCCGTCGCCGTTTCTCAGCCAAGCTTCGAGCGGCGCATTCGATTTAAGTTCTCTCTATGATGCTATAATGATTCCTTCGAAGTCGCCATTCTTCTGTGAATCGACCGGCGGAGGAGGAGAAAATCTGCCGCCGTTCGAGGCGGCGGCGTTTCCTGACTTTCCTCAATCTCAGATCCCGCTCGATCGGCGCCACCACCAGGACCTGGTCGCTCGCCAGAGTGCGGTGCTCGGTAACCTCCGAGAGATGGCGAAACAAGCACAAGCGCTCCGGCAGGAGAACGTCAATCTCAAGATGGCGAACCTCGATTTGAACAGACGCCTTGCTCTGCTGCTCAAGGCGTCGGCCGATTACGCTGCTGTGCACGGAGCTCCGCCGGAATTCGGAGTTAGGAGGAAGAACGGCCTCGTTGGGAACCAGGAATCTGCAGGCGAGGGACAACCGTGGGAGGATTTGACCGCGGCGGCGGAGGCGTCGTCGTCTTGCGACCATCGCACTCGCGAGAGCCCAACCGGTGTCACGCTTCCTAAGAGTATATCTGTTCGATCTCGTGGCTACGTTAAATCGGCTCAAGCTGCGGTAATTAATTTCTCAATCTTTTTCTTGTCATTTTTTTCTTTACATGTTACTCCGATTTCTCATGGCTTTCTAGGAATTTATTACACGTGTGACATGTCTTTTTTTTCTAATTTGTTTCTTCACTGTTAATATTTTTTATTAATAGTTGGATACCTTTCCTCTTAAATATTTGTCCACTTTTAACTTTTTCGGTCAAGATTGATAAACTTTGACCTTAAATTAAATAAAAATGATATTAGATATTCATACAAAAATAGTTTTATTAAATTTATTACATCAAATAATTTTTTAAAAATATTATTTTATCAAATTAATATACATTATATATTTTATTTAGTTATATGTCAAAGGTTAAAAATAGTTTACCGAAAAAAGTTAAACTTGGACAAATACTCAGAGACGGAAATAGTATATTATAAAAATATAATATTTTAAAATTAAATCTCAAAATAAACTTATTTATATAAAATAATTTTTTTAAAAAAAAATTTGTAATCAAAATTTTAAAAAGAAATACTTTAAAAGACAAATTGATCGAGAAGATGGATATAAGCTTATATGGAGTAGTACGTTGTTAATGAATGCAGCAAAAGGTGCACGTGAAGGGTGGAAAGAAGGAAGAGGGGCCGCCACTGGAATTGGAAGTGTACAACCAGGGAATGTTCAAGACTGAGCTATGCAACAAATGGCAAGAAACCGGTGGGTGCCCCTACGGAGGCCGCTGCCAGTACGCCCACGGCCTGGATGAGCTCCGCCCTGTGCTCCGCCACCCCCGCTACAAGACAGAGGTTTGCCGCATGGTCCTCAACGGCGGCCCTTGCCCTTACGGCCACCGCTGCCACTTCCGCCACTCCCTCACCCACCACGAGAAACACTTCAGGTCACTCCTCAATCCCTCCTAGCTTGCATATATTCTTCACTTCACTTCACTCTTCTCATCATGATTGAAAACTTGATCATAATATTACACCCGGGCCAGTAATACAACCATAATAACAATAGTAATAATAATAATAATAATAATAATAATAATAATAATAATAATAATAATAATAATAATAATAATAATAATAATCCATTTTAAGTATTGATTTTGGTATTTGAATTTGCATGTAGACACTAATAACAACACTGCTAGGAGTGCTAGCTCCTTATAATAGTTGTGTGTATATATAGAACTATAGGTAGAGATATATGATGGTGTTCAGTTTGAAGAATAAAGGTGTTTGTGTGTTTTGCTTGAAAGACATTATGAGAAAGCCTAAAGGTGTGTTTTGTTACTGTGTTTGTTGGATTATGTACTTGTGGACTGCTAATTACTTACTACTCCTTGCATTGTTACAAACTTGCCTGCTCCTATTATATTTTTTCAAGGACAGAAAGTGTTCGAAGAACACACCATTTTGGCCTAGCCTAACAATTGAAATTGGTTCAAAACCATTGAAGTTTCACAAAATATGTCTTCACATCACAAAAATGAAATCCAGCTATCAAAATTATGCTATAACAATTAACAACGCAAAAATTGGATGACACTTTTTTTTTTAAAGACAAGTTATTCGCTTTCATGTGTTGGCAAACTGGACATAACCACTCCATTGCTTCAATGTACAGCTGAAGAGTATACAATTCCTACAACCCCAATATCGACACGGAGATAACTGTGCCCTATCTTACAGAGGGAGCTTTAAACAACAAAATAAATACACATTATATAATAAAGTCAAACAGACCCATAAGTCAACTATAGAGCAGCCTCCCCTTCTCTTCTCAGTAGTTCCTGGCAAAACAATACAAAAGCATGCACAAGTACATTTTAACACAGCAATTAGGGTTTTACGTGTTTACGGTGCAACATAGGAAGTTCCTAAGCATTACCAATTTTGTGGCGGCTATGGACTGGCATTGTCTTTCTTTCTTCTCGCGTTGGCACTCTGTACACCAGCTGGAATTGTCTTTCTGATACTTCCTCAACTCTCTAAACACAGAACTGCAAGGACAAAACGTTAAAAATGAAATATATTAATGATAATCGGTACTCCCTCCGTCCTAAAAAAAAACTCATTTAACATGGCGCAAAGATGTAGAAAAATAAAAAAAATCATTGACTTTCCCATGGTACCCTTGGGTAATAAGTGGGCATGGTAAATGGGTAGTGGGTATATGGTGGATAGTAAAATAAATGAAGGGCAAAAAAGAGAAAGCAACACAACGACATTTCCTTCAATAGAAACAGAAACGTTTTTAGGACAGGCTAAAAAAGAAACGGGAAGCCTTTTTGGGGGGACATAGGGAGTATGTAGTCTGCTTTAAAGGACATTTTGCTTGTTGGGCAGGTAATTTTTTCTAGACTTATTGGTGTTATTAGCAAGCAGCAAAAATACTATTGAGCTGGCTTGAATGGGACTGCCTCTGTTCTTGGAAGATTGCAACATAGACTTCGGAACAAAAAATAAGGGAATAAATTGTTTGACAATTTTGCCCTTTAGTGGCAAGGAGAGGAAAAAGAAAAGGACATGTGATGAGGAAGTAGCATTGTGGTCATTTAGGAATCTTTAGTGCCAAAAAAAAAATGTTGCAAATTTTTGAAACTTATGAAAAAAGAAAGTGTCTCCACCTTTCAAGTACGATACGAAAAAAATAGTGCACAAGTTACTTTTTAAATGAAATGACTTAAATTTTTTTAAAATGCCACTCCTACTTTTGAATCTTATTTTCTTTAATCTCTTCATTAAGGAAACACCTTCAAAAAAAAAAAAGGAAACATTTAAGACAGTCGATGAATGAACACTTCATCTGTTTTAGGCTTTACCAAATTGTCTCATACCAAATTCAAGCATAATAATAATAATAATATTAATAATAAAAAAAATACAAAGTACTAAAAGAAAAAGCCATGTCACTTGGTACCTTCTACACCAGAGCAATAAGTTGGTCCTCTGGCCAGATGTTGTGGCTCTAGCTCCATGCCTATGCCGACCACGGTGAAGAATTGCCCGTCCAGGATGATGTTTTACCTCTAAGCTCTCCTGTGATACATAAATAATTACAAACTCCGGATGAGTTGAGAATATCTCAAAAGTATACATCTCTCACCAACTTGGACACATTCCAATGGCATTCATGTTTTTTTATATCAATCTTGTTAAGAGGCATATGACTAATAACAACTATTTAAACGCATCACCATCGACATCGCTTTTTGCATGAAGAAGTTTTCAATTAGCGTTTGCATTTTGTATTATTTTTTAATGGTGCAAATTAACTTTGAGAATGCTAAAGTCAAACAATGATGTTACATAGTCTTTCAAAGTGGTAAAGCTAAATGCCGAAGCACTTCACAAACAAGCAATAAAAAGTAAAAACTTCATGCCACCAACCCCAACATACTTGGGATAAAAAGGCATTATAATCATCTATCTCACCAAAAGTCCTATACTAGACACAGCAAGCTCAGGAATTCAAGCTACATACTTCATAAAAGGAACCTTTTTGAAAATAAAATTGCATACCTCAGGTCGTGATTCTGTATTTACATGTTTCTCACAACGCACGCCTCGAAAAAACAGTTCTCCGCCCGAGAACTGCTTACCCAAACACACATTCAACGTGACTTCTGAATCATCCACATGGAAACCTAAAAGGTAAAAACAGTTGAGATCCTACTCTCTCGAAAAAAAAGTACACAAAAACTTGACCTCTTGAAGAGAACGTATCTTGTACTCTTGTAAGGACAAACTTTAACGATTAACATAAAAACAAGAAAGAACGTTCATTCAAGTTCATTTGGCCAATGTGACAAAAAGAACCCCAAAAGAACTATTCCATACCAATGTGTTTGTGCACTTGCATTTAGGCACATTGACCAATGAAATGAGAATAATGGGTAGTGGGTAATCTCAATTAAATATGTGGTATTGAGAGTTGATTGTTGAGTTGATGGAAAATGATTCATTGTGACATTTACTCCCTTCCACTAGAAAGAAAAGTATTGAAAATTAAAAAGTGGATGGTTGCAATATAATTAGAGGAGAAAGAAAGATTGTGAGCCACATATTTCATTCCTAATTGGGAAAAGGAGAAATGTGAAGATTATTTTGGGACAACCAAAAAAGAAAGAAAAGCTTTTTAAGACGGAGAGATTATTATTTCGCCACAAAGGGGAAGTGGACAAATACATTGGGAGGACCCAAAAAGAGGGACAAACATTGAAACACAGAAGAATGGAGGGAGTATATAACCCACACCAAATCATAAGAATATCAGCCCCTTACCCAAGTCAACATCTCGATCCATTCCATACTCGACCACAAAGCCATGATGGGTGTCGAGTGTTGACCCACCAACCTCTGGAAAGAAAGCTGCACAATAATTTTCAAAACTGGGTCAATCCAAAAGGTACGTGAAATCCAACTAAACCCCATCCCCCCCTTTCTTCTACTCCCATTTGTAGAAAGGTTAAAATTATTGCCTGTGGAAATAGGACGAATGAAATCCTCCATCAGCTTGTCAAGCACGTTTTCCATGCCAAAGTCATCAAGGACGGCACCAAACTTGTTCATCGTGTTCGGCCTCATGATTATGAACTTCGTTTCATGGACCCACTTTTCAAAATTTTCTACCTAACCAATCAGAACCTGATAAGAAATAGAAAAGCTAAACTACGAATAACCAGCTTAAGGAGCATTTCTCAAATATTGACTTCACCAGAAGGGGAAAAATAATACCTCTTCCAGAAGCATTTCACAGAAGCGAGACTGCAGCATCTCAAAGGTAAAAACACCAGAAACTTCCGTCATTATACTTTTGAAACTTTCTATAGAACTTTCATTGATTGCCTTCAAAAAGGAGGGCACAAAGAAACTCGTAGCATGCATCGTGTACAACTCAATGTGTAGTGGCTGGAAGAGTGATTTAGTCAGATACAGTCTATACAAAGTTTACACTAGGCACTATACTATCTATACTAAACCAAGAAGTGTGTGGATAAATTATAAAAGCACAAAAAAAAAATACAATTTTATGACTATGTTGGCAAATATATTGTCATCTCCAATGCCCACCAGGAAAACATATCAACAGTTTTGTTTACAATAACAATATCCCATAAATGTGATAGGAAACCAAGCCAAAACCAAACAATAAACATGTACAATCCCAACTCCTTTGGGGTCTATGGGTCAATAATGTTTCCAGTTTTACCCTTGTAAAAATATGTATTACCCTATGTTATAAATGTGTAGAAACTATATTTAAAAAAAATCAGTGGAATACACACAGTGAAGGTACTATTATAGCATCAATGTTTAACATGAACAATAACAGTGCACATTCTTGTCATTTTTATTGTTTGTTGTAAACAGATGAAAAGAGCATATCACAATTTATGCCTGGTAGTTTGATATAATCTTCTGCCTGTATTCTCTGTGCTTCTGGACCTGCAAAATATTATTTAAAAGAATCAAAAAAATGGTTATTGCTAAATTCACCCTTCATTTGGCTATATCCAACATTCCAACCTATTGATATTAAAAAGACATGCTTTGCCCTTAACTGTTTAAAAAAGAAAGCAAAGTGGTGAAGGGAAAAATTGTCCATTTATTATTAAATGAGGTGGAATTCGCCTCGCCCCTTAAAAAATTACCTGAGAATTTTTTTCACTTGAACCTTAAACAAAACAGAGCAATATAGTATGAACTATGAAGATGCACAATAATAATAATAATAATAATAATAATAATAATAATAATAATAATAATAATAATAATAATAATAATTTGCATAACTCACCCGGGTTCGTTCTCCCTCGGGCGAATACCTGAGGAGAATTTCCCGCATGTACTGAACCTTGGAATCGCGGCTAGAGATGAGAATGGCCGGCGGGAGATAGCGCTCCAGAGAGCTGAACAGAAGCGGGCTGAAGTCCAATTGCAGGTCGTCGTAGCGGTCGGGCTTGTGGTCCAAGCTAGGGTTCAGCCGCAGCCTGTTGGCGGTGTGCGCCTGGACGACGACGACGCCGTTGCCGTTGATGGCGGCGACGCTTCCGGCTCCCGTCGCCGCCTGGCGCTCCTTCACCCGATCCACCGCTGCCCCGTCGAGAGGCATCGTAGAGAGCGAGAGGGAGGAGTTAGGTTAGGGTTTTGCAGAGATGGGATTTTTTTAGGGTTTCAGGTTGATTTGTGTTTGGCTTTTTGGTGAAGATAGAGGCTAGGGTTTGGCTATGGAAAATCTCTATCCACTATAGATCTTCCCAGACACTATTCACACGTCAAACTTTAGTCACTTTGTTTACTCATTTTTACTAGTCATTTCATAAAATAATATAGTCTTGTTACCTCTAGTTTTGTAGAACTTTTCATGTAGTTTATTTCTATATAAATTTTATTTTAAAATTTTACTCCTATAATCAATTAAATTGAATTGAACATAAAGTTAGTCAAACCTCGTAATGCGTAATGAGAAGATCTTACATGGATGGAGGGAGTAATATACAACAGTGGGTTCCAGTGACACCCAAGTAATATTAGCGGTGCAATTGTCATTTTGGGCCTCTTCTGATATTTTATTCGCAAAATTGATGATTCCTACACACCTATTAACCCATCCCCTAAACCCCCACCCTACCCCTGCCCATGCACTCTCACCCCACCAGCGGTAAGCCCCCCACAAAATGTGTGGCTATTATGCAATGCATAATAGCTACACATTTTGTGGGGGCTTACGGCGGGGTTGGCTTGGGGTGCAGAGGCGGATGTAAGGTAGGAGGTTTAGAGGGTGGATTATGGGGGTAGGAACCATCATTTTATGAACGGAGCACCAAAAGTACTCCAAAATGACAGTAACATCAGTGTCACGGTATTTTGGTGACACTATAACTCCACCGAATATACAAAGTTAAATCAAAAAATGAATATTGTTTTTTTCCTGCCCAAAACTAACCGAATATGGATGGCCAATGGGCAAATCCGAAACACTGGGTGATACAATCCTACGTTATCTCTCACCAAAACTTCATGCCCCCAAGCTCTTCATTCATAGTTTCAACTGTCGTGACAAAAGACCTTATGGTCCAACAACATGATGGTGGTTCTCCCGTTTGGATTGATATAGTATAGACAGATACTACATTATAATATAAATATTAGTGTTCAACAAAATTGTCACGTTTCTCGAACTTTCAGTTTTACATCACCTCCCAGACTCAACCAAAATATGAGTTTAACCTCAATCAACCTGATTTGCCCAAAATCTAAATTGAAAAAAAAAATAATTCAAGCAGAACCTAGTGGAATTAAACATTATATGGAACTAAACAAGTCGGATTTAGATGTATTTCTCATATCTCATTTTTTTTGTTTATTATTAACATGATTAAATTTTTAACCACTTTCATTACTTACTTTCATTATTTATTTGATAAAATAATATAGTCATATTAACTTTTATTTATAAGAAATTTGACGTACTTGTTAAATACTCCCTCCGTCCTCCTGTATTTGTCCACATTTGACTTTTGAAACTGTTCATCTAAGACTTTGACTCATCAAATTCTCTCAATGTGTAAGCCTAAATATAGTCATGTGCGATCTTGTTTGATTTGTCTTGACATATAGATTATTAATATATAATTTTTATAATTTTTTAATATACAAATTACAAGATAAAATGGATTAAAGAAGTGCATTGGATGGTGTGCAAAAATGAAAGTGGATAAATACAGGGGGACGGATGGAGTATATAAAACAAATATTTAAATTTAATCAAACCCAACCATTCCTCTCAAACTTAGGTCATACTCTTTTGAGTGGAAAGATTAATTCCTAACTTTTTTCTAACTCTTTCTAATTCCTTCCAACTTTTTCTAGTTTTTCAAACAAGGATTTTAAAAGTATTTATTTATGATTAATATAAAATAATATTATATATCTAAATTTTTAACATATCAACCTCGAACACGGACAATGATGATATTTTGTATCCAAAATTAAAATTTTCTAACATATTTAATTGGATGATCATTTATTTGAGTGATATTTTAATACTTAAATTCTTCCAATATTTTCCATAATTCTTTTAGTGTCTTCCAACTCATTGTTTCTTCAACTCCTTCCAATTTTTTTCAATATCTAGCTTTGAACTTCAAACCAAGAAAACACTAACTTAGAATATGTTATTTAGAGCCTGAACTCTTAACTTCCAATTTTTTCTAATTTCTTCTAGCTATTTCTAGTTTCTTTCAATTTCTTCTAGTTTCTTCTAATTTCTTCTAGTTTCTTCCAACTATTTTCATTTTCTTCAAACTCTTTACTGTTACAACTATATAGTTCATTACTATTTTATAACTCACACTCATTATTATTTTTTCTTCAACTTTTTAATATGAATAAGATAATTTTTTGTATATTAATCTACATGATAAAATTGGAAAAAATCAATATTTTAAACTATACCCGGAGTATTAAAAATTATGGATAAAATAGTTACATGGAATGTTTTATTAATCCAACTTTATGTAAGACCTCTCACCTTTTCCCTCTATTACTCAATTTTTCTCATTTTTATTTATTTCAATACTTAATTTTATTTTATTTTTTTATAAAAAAATTAGAAAGTTAAAATAATTTTGAGAAAAAAGGTTAAAATACTAATAAAACATAAAAAATATATAAAAATAAGAGTTCTATGTCTTTATTCTAAAAATAGAAATTACAAAGAAAATAAAATGACAATTAGAAAGAAAAATAGGTTTGTTAACTTTATATTATACTTCGAAATTATCTAATTTTGATGTTTATGCTAACTTAATATTATACTTCATTTTTTTTGCTAAATATTTTTGTGTGTATGGAAAAATAACTATAGTTTTTTTAAATCTTAAAGGCGTTTATTACAATAACGTGATGATGATGATAATTATAATAATAGAAAATAATAATAATAATAATAGTACATAATAACAAGAATTAGAATGAAAATAATATAAAAATAAAGGAAAACAATATTTTTAAAGGTTTTTTTTTTAAGTTTTACAATTTTTGAAACTTTTTTAAACTTTTTCTTATTTTTTCTAGTTTTTTCTGTTTCTTTGGATTTCTTTTGTTTCTTCCACATTCGAGTCCTAAAGATCAGGGTGAATTCCCCGTTTGTGTAATTTACTCCCACTTCATTCCTTTATATGTAAGGTGAAAACACATTTTCCCCAAAAATACCAACCGGATTTGGCTAATCCGTTTTGACGCGAATTATTTGACCAAACGGATTAGGCTAATCCGTTCCACTCATTTAATATCCAAACGGATTAGACTAATCCGTTTCATTATTTATTTTTTTTGTAATTTTCTTTTATTATAAAGGGATTTGGTTCTTTGTGTTCCAATTAATTTTTTTTCCTTTTAAATTTTTTTAGTTATTTTAACTCCTCTTTTAGAAACTTTTTTAACAAATTAACTCCACTGTTTTTAATTTTTTTTAATGTTTCTAACTTTATTTTAAAATATTGTATCATAAGAAAATTTAATTTTTTAGCTTCTCAATGAAATCAAGAAAGTCAACTCACGGATTTTAAATTTTAAAATTAATTAAGAAAGTCAAGTCTTAAAAATTTTAAATTTTTAGCTTCTTAAAAACTTTTGTTACTTTTAAATTATTTATAAGAAACCAAATTAGAAAATAAAGGAAACATACATAAAAAAGATGTAAATAACAATTTATTCAAATATTACAGAGTAACAATTTATTCATTTAATAACAACTCATTTCTTTCAAAGATTACAACATAAGAATTTATTTATTTAATACAAGCACACAAGTAGGCAATTATAAAAAAAACTCATGAAGTAACTAATTATGTTAAAAATTACGGAGTATCTTAGAATCTCAAAATTTAAAAAATACCAATTTTTATTAATATTTAATGCACAAGTAGGCAATTATAAAAAAACTCATGAAGTAACTAATTATGTTAAAAATTACGGAGTATCTTACAATCTCAAAATTAAAGAAATACCAAATTTTTATTAATATTTAATGAATCAAATTCAAAATATATCTTACAAACTAATAATATATATCAATTACAATAAACAAATTCACCCAACTTGGTAATTTTATATAATTTATGTAATATATATATATATATGTGTGTGTGTGTGTGTGTGTGTATATATATACTACTAAAAAATAAAAAAATACCTCCATGAAACGGATTAGGCTAATCTGAATTGTCCTGCGGTCGCCGGTGGTTGGATTTCTCCCGGGGGTTGTTCCTCCCCTGGTCGGTTGCCTGCCCTTCTCCCGGCGGTTGTCCCTCTTCTCTCGGTCGGCGGATGAAAGGCGAATGTATGGACGGGAGGGGAAAGGAAGGGGAAGGGGGTTATCCGATTGGGGAGACGGAGTAGCCTAATCCGTTTGACTTTAATTTCATCCGAAACGGATTTGGCTACTCTGTTTGGGGGTTTATTTTTTTTAATAAGCTTAACGGATTACGCTACTCCGTTTGATAAATAAAACCCTAAAATATATTTGGCTACTCCTTTTCCTTAAAAATTTTCGAGTATAAACGGGGAAGCCAAATTCGTTGTGCCCCTTCTGATTTACAGTGTCAGGAATGGATATTTTCTTTTCAACATAATTAACTCTAAAGATCACCCAATATACCACCTTAACCACTCGCGTCAGTCGCGTGCTGAACCACATCGTCAATCCAAGAACACTAACCCACTCACGTGCCGATCACTCGCCGGCATTTCAATTCGCCGTCCCACCAGGCAACTGTCAAACGACGACGGATCAAAGCAGACTTGTATTTGTCGTCCGCCGTTGCCTCCCTTCCTCCACCGCGCAACCGCCGGAGTGCCGCGAGCCGATCCCCGAACAACGGCCATCATCGCGGCTTCTATTTCGTCTTCTCCTCGAAGCTGGACCTAATCGGTGCATGATCTGGCCTGTTCTTCAAGCAGTTCACGCTTCACAATTCCCGTTCCAAAACCCTAAATCCCACCGGAGCATCCCCTCCAGCGGAGACGCGTGCTTTTCCGCTGTCAGGATGAATGACTGGACGCCGTCCCCGTACGGCGCCGCCTACGTTCCTCCTCACCAACGGCTGCGCTCGGTCATACTTTCCTCGTCATCTGCCACTGGGGCTCCCCAGCCTGCTGGCGAAATCACCAATTATAGTTTGAGCAATAAAGCTCCGGTTCCTAAACCCAATACAATCAATCCGCGCCCTTACTTGCAGCCTAACCAGCAACTCCAACAGCAACAACTGCAGAGCAATTTCCTAAACATGCAGCAGCAGAACTCCCAGTCTAATGGCGTCTCTGTAGAGATTCCTGCCTTCCATGTAAGTTCTGAATCCATGTTTTGTTTTCTTTGTATAATGTAACAATTTCCCATCTTTAGGTCTTTAAGTCGATAAATACCAAATGATCGAAGAGTAATTGCCCCTGCCCCAATGTTATTCATTTCAAGGAACATGCTTACATAACAATCCTGATGAACATAACATTGATTTTTTAGCCAATTATATAGTATTGGAGTGTTACGTTTATGTTCGGGACAAGTAATGTGTGTACCCTGAATTTAGGGCTCATCCAACTTTGAAAGAGTGGATGCATGGAAAAGGAAGTTGAGCACCCTCTTACAAGACAAAGATAAACAAGAGATAGTCTCAAGGGAGAAAAAGGATCGGCGTAATTTTGAACAAATTTCAGCTCTTGCCAGAAGAATGGGTCTGTATAGGTATGTTTGACGTAATTATTCACTGCACTTTTTTTGAAGCATTGAATTTTGAAATGAATTACTTTTTCACAGCCATGTGTATGCAAAAGTATTGGTTGTCAGCAAGGTTCCATTGCCAAACTACAGGTTCGATTTGGATGACAAGCGCCCTCAGAGAGAGGTATGTTATTTATGCTGATCAGTGCTGATCTAGCATACTTCATCCATGCAAACACTATCATTTGGCTCTCATTAATCCATTCTCTTACCTTTGCAATGTTTCGTTTGACAATTAGAAGCAGATTGATATCTAATTTTCCTGGAAAAGTTTGAATCTCCTCACTCAGTTCTTTCCAAGTTTTTCTTTAACTTGTTCTGAAATCCTGATATGTAGTTCCTTCTACATGTCATTTGCATTTGTGATAGAGTGCCACATATGCAGTTATTTTATGTTATTAATGTTTGAATAGAGTCAGGTAGTGTCATTTGTTTAACAGGTCAAATGTATTATTTTATATATGTTAGTTACTAAGTAGTAAATAATGTGTAAGTGGGCCTAACTTCTAGGAGTAGTTACTAAGTAATGTGTTATCGAAGGATTCAAAGCCTAACTTCTAGGGATTGGTAGTTACATGGCTTCTATGAATATAGAGGCTCATTATGAGTAAAAGTTATCTAGGAAGTAATTCAATCTGCCCTCCGTCACATATCTTTCTTCCCGTTTTGACTTTTGTTGGATATCTTACTTTTATATTCTATATTTATTTAATAATAGAGATATTAATGGTCAAAGTGTTGCATTAGAGACTGTGAAAAGTCAAGCAGGAAGAAAGATATGGGACGGAGGGAGTATTTATTATTGGAGATTCTCCTTGGCTTTATTACTTGTATGAGTTAAAGATTCTTACTCATATTTTGATAAAGATTTTTCTTTTAATATTTTTATGAAATTAGATGCTGATTTCATGTTTTATAAAAGCTTTCCTTCATTTATTTTCCTGGCCAATCTCGAGACTTGTCAATTTGCATCTGCATCTATCATCTATTTTTATCGTCATGGTATACCTGCTTATTGATTTACAGGTTATTCTGCCACCAGGGTTAACTAAAAGGGTAGACGCTCACCTTGAAAAATACCTTTCTTGTAAGCCTAACACAATTGGAGTTCCAAGAGCAAATATTACACGTAATTTTGCTGCTGATGAAGCACTTTTTGAGCTGCCTGAACTACTTCCAAAAAGTAAGGCTGCCATCGAGAATATCCTTTGGCAAAGGAGTGTGCAATTGTACACTGAGCAGCAAAAATGGCAGGTTCAATTATCTCTAACAGTCACTTTCTTGACTTTGAAATCACATGCCTTTGCTTTTCTCATCTGCCTAGAGCTCAATTTAGTTTCCTTCGGCTTCACGGCTATTAGTCACTAGTTTGTAAGTCAGCATCAACAACCATTTATCTCTAATTCAAAACCTAATTCTTAAGTCATATAGGCACCACTTGTGGACACAACTACTCTTACGCTGTTAGCTTTCTTATGATAAAATATTATATGTATGCTCTCAAAGCAATACCATTTGTACTGTTCACACAATATACCCCGGAGTACTTAGTAGTTAATTGCTCTTATCTTTTAACGTTCATATATATGGAGTGATAAAAAACACTATAATAAGAATACTTATGGTTAAGAATTTATTATTTCATACCAACAACAAAGTATATACTCCGTAAGTAATAAACCCATTATAATCCCAACCCTGTTTGGGGTCTTTTTTTGGGGTGGGGTGGGGTCAAGATGTATGTAGTCTTACATTTGAAAAAAACAGAGGCTATTTTTGTTATACCTCAGATGCAATGCAGCATTAACTACCCAAAACATAATAGATCCTTAATTCAGCTTTGTCGTTCATGTTGTTGTTCACTATGATCCTTACTTTTCTATCCTTTTATGTCATGTACCAGATGCTCCACGAGCTTCAATGCTTTGATGTCTCCTTTTCTTTTACACCTCCAGAGTCCAGTCCATGTCAACATCAACAATAACAAACACTGTAGATTCCCAGAGAGTGGGGACCTTCAATAGTTGTATATGTCATTGACAAAATTTCATGATGTTCAAACACCTGTTTTAATGCATTAGGAACTTATCTATTTTATGTAGACACTGCTTCTAAGCATAACGGTCATATGTTGAATTGATTTGTTCAATTCTATCTCTCTCTATCTTCTGGATTTCCTCAGGATTTTATTTACTTCTATTTAATAAATCTGAAACCATGAGATCTTACTCTATACTCTTTAGTGGTTGAAATAGGATTTTCTGATTTCTTCAAGTGAAGAACTTGTTTGCTAGAGAATTAAGCAGTTCCTTAGTATTTGTTCCTTGGATGACAACACCAAAAGCAACCACAGTCTCAGTTCTCAAATTCCATAAAAACAAATTTCAGGTTCTCTATTTTATAGTTCCCTTGCTTGCAAGTTGCAACTCAGAACCACTTAATTATTACACTTCCATGCTTTTTGCTTCTTGGAATGCTTAAATTATATTGAATCTGGTGAATTATAATGAATCTGCTGAATTATAATGAATCTGATGAGGATTTACGGACTTCTGTTGATTGTAGAATTGGACACGTTTTCCTTTTTATGTTTGCTGCAGTCTGGAGAAGGTAGGGGGGTGTTTGCATTTCGTTGCTGTCTTCCTGCTTATCAGGAAAAGGATGCAATATTAAGTGCTATTACACAGAACCAGGTATGTTTGTAATTTGTATGCTTTATGAACCTTTGAAACAGATCTGGGCATACTTCAAAACCATTGCACCTCTCTTACTTCTATGTTGCACTCTTGTTTAATCTTGTGCCTGACGACTTTGCCTGCATTATTTTCCGAATTCGATGTGTATTTGTTTCAACTGGGGGGGGGGGCTTGTTCTAATATTAACTATCTATGTGTACACTTTATGCTAATTTTTTCAGGAACCCCTTAGTAGACGTGTTCAATTTGCCATTTCACTGCAACTGTACATTGTGTCTTGAGATTTTGTCACCTTTAAATTTAGTTGGATCACACTTCCTTGGTCCCTAAAAGATGATTTTTGTTTTGTTTTTAGATGTCTCAAATTATTGTCCACATCCAGTATAGAAACCTGGAAAGTATAGAAAAGGTGCTAACGGTATGGTAACATGAGAAAATGTAGTGCACATTATATATCACAAGAAAAATGTCAAAAGTTGAGCCCTTGGTAGTACCCAAGTTTGCATGTTGAGGGCTGCCTCTTTGAGCGGCTTGGGGAAAGAGGTGCTTTCTGGTGGGAGTGGTCCTATCTGAAGTTTATATTTTTCTCTTTGTCTATTTGAAATGTTATGTTATATTAATTCCATTTTGAAATTTAAACAACCAAAATTTCAGAGCTTTATATACTTCATCTTTTTAAATATTCTCTTGATACTGCTGGTGATTAGAAATAATTTTTCAAATCTGCAGGTGGTTATTATCTCAGGAGAAACTGGTTGTGGTAAAACCACGCAGATTCCTCAATTCATTTTAGAGTCCCAAATTGAATCCCTTTGTGGAGCAAAATGCAATATTATATGTACTCAGCCAAGAAGAATATCTGCTATGTCTGTATCTGAAAGGATTGCATTAGAGAGAGGGGAGAATTTAGGCGAAACAGTTAGGCTCCAATTCCCAAGCATGAATTTCTGAAGCAAACTGAATCTTGTAATACATGCTTTCTGACTTTGGACTAAGGTCCGCTTTTTCCTCTTCTCAGGTCGGCTATAAAGTTCGTCTTGAAGGTGTTAAGGGAAGGGACACACATCTCCTCTTTTGTACCACAGGCATCTTGTTGAGAAGATTATTAGTTGATAGAAGCTTGAAGGGTGTTACCCACGTTATTGTGGATGAGATTCATGAACGTGGAATGAATGAAGGTGCAAAATTTCTTCAAAGAGATCTTGTTATTTTGGGGAGATAATTAGAAATGTCTAACTACTTTGCATGTTCATGCCAGATTTTCTACTCATCGTTCTAAAAGATTTACTCCCTCGTCGACCAGAATTAAGGTTGATTTTGATGAGTGCAACTTTAGACGCAAATCTCTTCTCATCATACTTTGGCGGTGCCCCCACAGTTCACATTCCGGTGAGTTAATGGGATAGTAACTTATATCATGTTGAAATACTGTAGAAAAGTTTTTTTTCCCTTTGGAGGGTGGGGGTGCGAGAGCACTAGTTTAGGAGATATGGAGTGTTAAGATTATTGATCTGGTTAATTATTTTATTTATTTTACTAAAAGTGTTCAGGTTGGTTAACTCCCTATATATGTGTTAGTGAACCTAAATTTTAGGGAGACAGTGTTGGGGGTTAGGAGCCTCTATTTTTTCGAACGGAGCACCATGGGGCCCCTAAATTGGGGCAGTGTCATAATATGACACCATGGGTTGGTGTCAAACTAACCCAACCGGTTTAAAAATTATCTAGAGGTTAATAAAATATTTGATATTATCATTGGAAGTTCTAGGCTTTGTTAGCTCTATGACTTTAAGATTCTTAATCATATTTCACAAACTGATATGTAACTAATGTAAGTGTTTTGAACCCTTCCTAGTTTAAAAATATGTCTTATAATATGTGTATATATATTAAAAAAATAATGTCAAACGTTCAAATCATCATAGAACCATAGCCATAATAAAGTTCAAATCATCATAGAATCATTTTTTTGAACACTTATAACTCCATTACAATGTAGTATGTGTTCATACTTCATACATTCTCAACCTATAAAAGCACATAGAGTTATTGTCCCCAGTGGAGGGGTTCGAACCTGTGATCTCCCGTTTGGGAGAGCCACTCTGATGCGGACCATAAAGTCTTTGGCCAATTAATTAAAAATTGTGCCCAGTCAAACTAGTTTGGATTAAGGTTTTCTTGCTGCTGATAATAATGACCTTTCTTTTTAAGCATGCGGGCATGTGGCAGTTGTATGAAGTATTGACATATATAGGTCTTTTTTAATTGTGTGCCTAATGCATTAGTTTGTAAATATGGGAAAAGCTCGTCAGGTGGTTTATCTTGGTCTGAGTTAATTCTTAGTTGACTTCATCACTTCACAGTGCATCAGAAGGCTGTACTATCTTGGAGACAAGAATCATAGGCTCGCAGAGTTTTATTTGGGTGATATTTTAATGCAAACGTCTTATCTTTTAGTATTAGAACATACTACATACATTTGCCTCTTCCTGTCCTTTCACCTTAATGATTTTTTTCTTAGCTGGATTATGCTGATTTATCCATTTCATGTTTTAATGTAGGGATTTACATACCCAGTTCACACTCATTTCCTAGAAAATATTTTGGAGATGACGGGATATAGATTGACACCATACAACCAAATTGACGATTTTGGTCAGGAAAAAGCGTGGAAAATGAACAAACCGGCTCCAAGTAAACGGAAAAGCAAACTTGTGTCAGCAGTTGAGGTATACTATGACCCCATTGGTATTGTGTTCGTTGCGGAAGATTTCTTTTTCCAAAAGCAATCTTAAACAAATTGTAGATTTGTCCAAGAGATTTTTACGAACCCCAAAGCCACCGTAGTGCAAGAGCTAGTCAAAATTGACTAATGTTTCTAGAATTTCTTTTGAGTTTAATATTTTCCTTTTTAACCATTTTAATTTTTAGATGACACTATTCAACCTCAATGCCAAAAACTTATCTCTCAAAAGCACCTTTCCACGGAAATTCTCAGAAGTACTTTTCAAAAGTATTTTTCCTATAAATAGCCCTTTTCAACCACAAATCCAATTCCGGATGTGGCCTAATATGAAAGAACCAAACACCTTTTTCCCCTTTTTATTCCTGAATAATGCTGTGCTAAACTCCTAACGCCTTCATTATGACTAGGATGCCCTTGGAGCTGCTGATTTCAAGTATTATAGTGCACAGACAAGAGAGTCCTTGTCTTGTTGGAACCCTGATTGCTTAAACTTTAACCTCATTGAATATCTGCTGTGCCATATATGTGTAAACGAAGGGCCTGGTGCTGTGTTAGTTTTTATGACTGGTTGGGATGACATCAGTTCTCTTAAAGAAAAGCTTCTATGTCATCCTACCTTGGGAGATGCAAGTAGAGTTTTATTGCTGGCCTGTCATGGTTCTATGGCCAGTTCAGAGCAAGTGAGTGAATGCATTTTCTCATAATTCTATTGGTTTGCTATATTGAACTTTGAATTTATTCACTGTTCAAGGGTAAGGGTAGAGAGGCGAGGAAAGAATACCACTTCATCTTTCATCCTTCCTTCTTATTCAAGTGGTAGACTGGTAGTTGAAAATATTAATACGACCCTTTCCATTCATCTTTTTCTTACCAGGGGATGTAACCAATCTCCTCCTCCCTTCCCCTCCCCCATTTTTAAAAGTCTGGCCTTAAGTTCTTTCATTTATATAAATGCTTGTTATAACAATATCCACTAAATGCACTAATTGAGTATGAAAATATTATGACTTCTCCTTTATTTACTATATATCTGTATGTGATTTTGATGTTGGTGCAGAGGTTAATATTTGATGAGCCTGGAGGTGGAGTAAGGAAGATTGTGTTGGCTACTAATATTGCTGAAACTAGTATAACAATCAATGATGTGGTTTATGTCATTGATTGTGGGAAGGCAAAAGAGGCTTCATATGATGCACTCAATAATACTCCTTGTTTACTTCCTTCATGGATATCAAAGGTTTCAGCTCAACAAGTAAGATTCTTTTTTTCCTCTTCAAATAAATAGTTAATATACTTGGATACATTTATTATAATTAATTAGAAATAATTTGACCTGAATCACAATGCTTCTGCGGAGGTAACATTTAGACCAAACCCTATTTCATATACAATGCTGAAGTCCGCTGACCTTTGATTTAGAAATTTTTTTTGCTCTATTTTATTTCTTTTGGAAATTATTGTCATAGTATTTTTGATTTTATTGCATGAATATGTAGTGTTGCCTAATTTAATACTCGGTACAATTAATCAAGTGATCAACAGTATGCCCTAGTGTTACCTAATTTAATTCTAGGTGAATTAGTCAACAGTATGCCACATGCCCAACCCAGTTAGGAAAAAAGTGATGACCGTGATGGCAACGATCATATATTTAAAATAGTAAAATACTATTGATGAGTGATCTTACTATTAAAGTTCCTCTGGTTTTGTAATTTGATTGCAACAAAATTTTACACATCTTTAGTTGCACGTCGCCACCTAACAATCAAGTTTGTTAGGTTGATATAATTTGAAAAAATTGACATAAGTAATCCAACATTTTCTTGATCAAACAAAAATAATCCCACAACAAACTTTTGTACATGAATCATCCCAAGTTATGGTATGTCTCACAAAAATGAACTGGGGATTAATGGTGTTAATTTCCATTAGAAGTTGTTGATGTGGTTTTTGCTGGTTTTGAAAAAAATGATTCAAATAAGGCAAGAAAATGACCTGATTAAAAAGAAAAAATACCCAATTAGAAGTGTAAACAACCAAATTTGAATAAACTTAAGAATTCATTTTTTGTCGTCGGTGTTTGAGACTTGAGAGTTTCCATATTCAAGCCCAAATGTATGATGCTTAATGCATCTTTGTCACATGCACATTTATATGTTATACAATGCTCATTTCGCATATTTACTTTTTTGCACACACTTTAATTTAAGCTTGCAAAAAAAAACTTGACAGTGCTCATTTTGTTGCTAGAAAACTTTTTATTTTTTTCTGACACTTCTTATCCATGAAAAGGGGAAAAAAATAAAATCTTGTTTTTTTCTTATTTGCATCATTTTTTTTTGCCAAACCAGGAAACAAATTGCACCGTATTAGCAATTTCTAATGGAAAACTAACACCGTTAGTCCCCGGGTCATTTTTGTGAGAAGCACAAAACCTGGAGTTATTAGTGTACAAATTGCTGCGTGGAATTTTTTTATTGAGCGAACATTGGATTATATATGTCAAGTTTTCCTTTTAATTATCTACTCTGTATTTTATTTTATTTTTAGAATAGTGTATCTTGTCAAGGGAGAAAATAGTAAATTCACAGTGTTAGTGGTTGGCTGGAGGAATAGGTGATACTTCCCATTTTATATGATAGATCAAATGTGTGTGTGTGTGTGTGGGGTGTGGAGGGGGGAGGGACTATTTACTAGGTTTTGAAGTTCGGAATGCAACTTTTCTACCACTGATCTTTATGCTTTGGAAACTTTTTAACTGTGTTCTCTTTGGTCCACTTTTGCAACTAATAGAGAAGGGGAAGAGCTGGACGTGTTCGACCTGGAATGTGTTATCACCTTTATCCTTCATGTGTATATGATGCTCTTGCAGATTGTCAGCTGCCTGAAATTCTGAGAACACCTTTACAGTCCCTTTGTTTGCAAATCAAAAGTTTAAAACTTGGCAGCATTTCTGATTTTCTATCCAGGGCCTTGCAATCTCCCGAATTGTTGGCGGTATTTTATTTTAATGATTTCGGTATTTTATTTTTTTGTTTCTGGAATAACTAAAAAAATAAGAATGTTCTAACTTCTAACAAATTGCAAATATATCAAATTGCTATCCGTGCAAATCCTTTTCTTGTAAACATATCACTATCTCACTTGACCGGTAGGTTCAAAATGCTATTGAATATCTGAAGATCATTGGTGCCTTGGATGAGAATGAAGATCTGACTGTTTTAGGTATGAACTTTGTTCAGTGCCATCACTTTTTTGTCATCATTTGATGACTACACTGCATCCTAATGTTACTTTGCTATTTCTCCGAGTTTTCTACAGGACGCTACTTAACAATGCTTCCAATGGAGCCCAAACTTGGAAAGATGATTATACTTGGTGCTATTCTCAATTGTTTGGACCCAATATTAACTATTGTTGCTGGACTTAGTGTCCGTGATCCTTTCTTGGCACCATTAGACAAGAAAGATGTAAGTTCATTTTCAATTGCAACTTGATGGATATCATTATTTGGTCTACAATTCATTTCTTTTTATTGAGGAGTATATTCCTTTCTTTTATTATCAATAATCATGAATCAAGTGATGAATGTGTTGAATTGGTTAATTAGTTAATATCCTTACCAAGTCTGAAGTCTCGTTGAGCTCGTAGAATAGATTATATATGTTACAAGCTAGACACATGATTTATATGCTCCAAGTCGAGTAGGAGTTGAATTGCCTTAGTTATATGGGCCTAGCCCATCTTGTGTTCTGTGTTAGTATATGTACGAATTGCATATATATGCTTTATACACCGAAATATTCAGTAAGTAGCCTAACTACAGAAGTGAAGAACTGAGAAAAAGAGCACTCCAGATTGAAAAAGAGCACTCCAGATTGAAGGAGTCCTCCACATCCGTCAATCCTCACCCTTAGACTTGCTCATGATTTTCCCAATCAAACATGTTAAACTCCTCAACTTTGCCCCCTTCTCTTTAAAGTCCTCCAAAACAAGGGCTTAGCATTATTATTGTAATAATTTTATGCCGACAACACTAAATAATCGGGTTGCGCCCTCTGGTTGTAGTCTGGTCAAGAAGTGTAGGGGATCACTTCCCATTCTTCAAAATTGTAACAATGCATCAAGAGGCTAAGGGAAACGACTTTTCTCTTTTTACATGGTTTCATGTTTTCAACTGCTTTGTGTTCTCAAAATGGAGGTCTTACGTTCAGTTATCAGAAAGTCAAATTCCACATTTGCAAAAGAATGTTTTGACAGTCAATTTTTATTATTGCATTAATTGTTACTCCATAAGTCCCAATTTTAATTCTGCACTTTTTTTTTGTCTGTCCCAAAATAATCATAATCTCTCATTTCCTCTTCTAAGGAAAAGAATGTGTGGCTCATACATTTCTTTCTTCCAAACAAATTCCAATCATACTTTTCACTTTTTAACATTCTCTTAAACTATGAGCCCTGTCAAACTCATCACTGAAATATGGGCGGGGGGCATAGTATTTATACTTGCTGAGCAAATACTTTATACAGATTGTAGGATTTATTCTCAAAACCCTACATTTTGTTTTGCTCTTACATAACCAAAAGAAGAGTTATGCTTGGCTGTTTTTTATGTTAAATTATCTGTATGTAACATCCAGTATGTCTTATTTGCAGCTAGCTGAAGCTGCAAAGGCTCAATTTTCTCGTGATCACAGTGACCACCTTGCTATTGTCCGTGCGTATGAAGGGTGGAGAGATGCTGAAAAAGATCTTTCCGGATATGAATACTGCTGGAGGAATTTTATTTCTGCACAATCAATGAAGGTTATTGATTCTCTTCGAAAAGAGTTCTACTCTTTACTCAAGGAAACTGGTCTTGTTGACAGCAATCCTGCCATTTACAATTCTTGGAGTTATGATCTGTCTCTTGTTCGAGCAGTTGTTTGTTATGGATTATATCCTGGAATCTGCTCCATAGTGGTAAGATGTTATTGAGCTTTTCTGCAACTGTATAATCTGTTTACTTCAACACTCACTTTTGATGAATGAATTCCGCACATGAGTACTGCAATGTGTCCAGCAAGATGAACCACAAATGATTCCATATTCGTCTCATTATGTTTTCCTGTCAAATTCCAGTAATGTCAGCATACCCACTGGTGAATCCCATGAGGTAGTGAGGTTTTTATCTTGCGGCTGAATAACTTCTCACTCACAAAAAGTCACTATGGTCTATTGTGGAATTAAATTGAGAAACCTTTGATTTGGTTCATATCTCAGTCTATATCTTGCTAGCATTGCTACTTAGTCTTTACTAACACAAGTAATCTTTTTTCTTGGCATCTTGCCCATTTTAAAACTATATGTACACGTACATGTCCACAAAACGTAAGAATGTTTCCCGAAAATGTTTTTTCCTTGTCAAAACGAGAAGTCATTTACTACAAGAGTTAAAGATGAAGGAAAAGATTTCTCTTCATTTTATTTTTATTTTTTGGTGCCAAACACAAGAATCTTTCCAGGGGAATTTTAATGTTCCACAGGTATGAAAATCTGAAAACATTTTGCAGGAAACAAATGTAGCCTAAGAACCACAAGAAAGAATGTTATTCTTAAACGTTTGAATTTAGCGTGCATTCTAATTTTAGTGATTTTTAGATTCTCCGGCTTTCCTTTTAAGTCTTCTGACTCCATACTAATATCTTTTCCTTGCAATTAAATGCTTGTTATGGCATTGCTTTTTCAGCATAATGAGAAGTCATTCTCATTGAAAACAATGGAAGATGGTCAGGTGTTTTTGTACTCTGTAAGGATATCACATGCCTATTATCGTCTTGTACCTCTGAATTTCAAAACAAATGTATCCTCACCTTTTTTATCCATATACATGTGCAGAACTCTGTAAATGCACGAGATTCTAAGATACCATTCCCTTGGCTAGCTTTCAACATGAAAATTAAAGTTAATGCTGTTTTCCTTCGGGATTCTACAGCTCTCTCTGATTCAGTGTTGCTGTTATTTGGTGGAAGCATTTCAAAGGGCGATTTGGTAAGTGCTTCTTTGGTATTCACCAAGGCTCCTTTAATGTTGGTGGTTGTTAAAGCTTGCAAGGTTACCATGGTAGTAATATGTTTAATGTCAATATCAAACAATCTGTGCAGGATGGCCATTTGAAAATGATGGGGGGATACCTAGAATTCTTTATGAGCTCTTCAACAGCTGAAATGTTCCAAAGTTTGAGGAGAGAGCTTGATGACCTGATTCAGACTAAAGTAAGTAAATGCTCCAAAGCATTTTGGGCTATCATTTTTGTTATCTTGTTCCTTCCTGCCTCCAAAAAAGGTTCCTTGTTACCAATCATGTTTATTAAGAAAATGAAAATTGCGTGGTTGAGATGTATGCAAAGGAGATAGAGATAACATGAACAACACAATTCTTTCCTCAAAAGGAGAGGGGAACCTGATTTAGGGAGGGACGAAAATGAAAAGGACGGAGTGAGTAGTCCTTTCATTTTACAAACACATGATTTTATTAGATGATCAAAATGCTTTATAATCAGTCACAATGTTCAATATTCTGTTTTTATTGCTAGAAACTGAAAACAAAAACATCGTTGTCAAACACGTCAAAAAATTATTCGTAGGTAACGATAGGTTTTGTTAGACAGATCGGATCAAAGCAAAACAGACAAATATTTTATTGTTTTGAACTTGTACTGGATTCTTTGTGTTCTCTAAATATAAATAGAGAACAAACCAAGACGACTTTTACTAACCAACACAACTATTACAAAAACCAACACACCTATTAACACAACAAACTACCAATAACAGCTTTTAGAAACTACCCAACTGTTTTTTTTAATTAATTAAAAATATGAAAGACACACTAACCGACTCGAACATTAACCCATTACCCATTTGGTTATATGTGAACAAACCCGATTACATCTAACAATCACGCCCTAATCGTTGTTTGTTCACAGCAATCTTCTCTGCAATGCTGGCTCATCATCATTTTGAATCAAATTTGAAATGTCTTCCTTTTGATCCCATTTTGGATATTCATTCCCAGAATGCCCAAGCACATTGCACTTGAAACACCTAATCTGACTCTTATCCCGCTGAAACTGACCACCTTGATGACTTTTCCCGGACCCCCGACCTCTATTAAGAGCATAGACAATTGATAGGATATTGAAAGAGAAGAAAATAGGAAAGTGGGAGGAAAATTTCTCCCTGGCTTTCAGGCAAGTTGGTAAGGGCATTTTTGGGTTGATATATGAAATACAAACACTTTTAATCAGAAATTCATATGTTGCCACTGGATTGTCTCCCATTTGTATTTACAGTAAAATTTGAAGACATTTGTTTTCACTTTAAAAATACAGACCTCGGAGTTCCCACAAAACCATCGTCACCTTAGGATTAGTTTTTTTGCAAACACATTATGCTGTTTCTCATTCATTAAAAACCGTGAACATATAATAAAAACCAAACTCAACAATTAAGGACTTGTTTTTTCATCTGATTTGATTGGTTCTCATCTCATTGGAATAAATTTTGATCTGTTGTGATCTAATTGTAGTTGTAATTAAAGCTATTTTTGATTTGATCTGGTCCTCTACTTCCAATAAGAATAAGTAATAATAAGTAATAAGAATAAGTTGAAGAGAACAAGCTCTAAATGTGCTATTTCCAGTGTATATTCTTCTATTACCTCATTCATTTCCAATAATAATACATTTGACCATTAGATAAAAATTCAATTGATTGATTCTTTGATGTATGTAAGCATATTATTCATGCAGCTCTCACATCCCAAGATGGATATCCATGCATATCATGAACTTCTGTCTGCAATACGATTACTTCTCTCAGAAGATCAGTGCAGCGGCAAATTTGTTTTCAACCGTCAAATGATCCAACCATCCAAGACATCACCCATTGCCGCACCATCACAAAAACTCTCGGTATCAAGAACCGAAAATGGTCCTGGGGGAGACAATCCCAAGAGTCAACTACAAACTGTATTGATCCGAGCAGGCTCTCCAGCCCCCATCTACGTGACAAAGCAACTCCCTGGTGGCCAGTTCCGGTGCACCTTGGAGTTGAATGGGACCCAAATAGTCGGACGATCCTGCACCAACAAGAAACAAGCTGAAAAAGATGCAGCGGCCGAGGCTCTGGAATGGTTGCTTGGTGAAAACCGTGCTTCCACTGACCAAGTCTCACTGTCTCTCAAAAAGAGCAAGAGAGATCACACATAAAGAAGGCTGAAGAGCTGTATATGTAAGTCCGTTTATATTTCTATGCAGTGATAGCGTGGTTATAGTTACTTTTTCCGTCCCAAAAAGAAATTTCAGTTCACTACTAATTTGACCACTTTGACCACTTTCTTTTCATATTTTTATTACTAATTTGATAAATTAAGTCTTTGTCACCTTTTGTTTTGTAGAAATTTTGATGTAAATTTTAAATAAATTGAATTTAAAACAGTCAAGCATCTTAACCCCCGACGGGAAAGTCTTTTTGGAGGTGGTGAGATGCCATTGCCGCTTGCTGGATCGCTCAGTTGGGCTCAGGTATGTTTATTGGTGGAATAGGGTTGAGTTTGCTCATTTGGTTAAACACTAGGTGTGGAAATAGAAATTGAAGGGCAAAATGGGAATATTTCACGGGGGGCTACATAGTCGAATTAAGGCTTTGACAGAGAGGCGGTGTAACTAAATTCATGTATGGGCCGGGTATGGATGGGAGGCCCCGAAATGTACCCGACCCGTCAAGTCTCGTTGTACATTTTTAGAATCAGACCCATCTGCTTGTAGTTCTTGAATGCTGATTATTTTGGTTAAAAGTGATAATATGGGGTAATTATAGTTACTCCTAGTACTTATTAGGGAGTATATTTATATTAGATGCTAGGTTTTCACAACAATTTTTTTGTTTGAATACTACTGTAGTAGGAAGTATTTGGGTTTTTTTTGTTCTGTGTAAAAATTGCCCTGAAAAGGGATCATCACCTCGTTGGTGTTCTCTTTATTCTCCATTTAGTTGTACAGTTTTGATGCTTTTAATACTTTGTGATGGATCTTGGGTAAATTTCACAAATAGTATATTATTTTTTTTTAGTTTTATTTCGTTTCGATACATAAACTTTTAAACCCTATTGCAAACTGCGGGCCTGTTTGGAAATAACGTTATAGATTATCGTCAATGTTTTGAATAAAATTCTAACGATGCAGATTATTTTGAAAACGCTAACGCTAAACGCTGCCCGTATAGTCTTTTCAGAACATTAACGTTAATTTCTAATGCTATTTTCAAATAGATCTTGCATTAATTTTTAACATTCTTTCACCAATAGTCTTTTAGCTTGTTTATAGGTTATCTTCCGGTAACAATCCTATGTGGCTGCACATTTGGACCAAATTTTTTCTTTATTTTTTTTATTTTTCTTCTTTTCTTTGCGTCAACCATCTCCCTCTTTCCTCTCCATCTTTTTTCATTTAATTAATACATTTATTACCTTAAAAAATAGATTTATTCATTCCATTTTTTCAGAGAAGATTTGTTTTGAAAATTCCTTTTTAAAAATTATTTTTCTTCCTCTTTTTTTTAAATCTGATTTTTAGATTTATTTTTTTAATTTTTGAAATTTCTTTTTTAGATCTTTTAACTGAAAAAAGTTAACTGGTTTTTTTAAATTTAAATTTGAACGCTAATTGAACATTTGGACGTACAGTGGTAAATGACAAACAAATTACAGGGTTTGATGAATCCAACCAGACAAAGAGACCACCACTAATCAAAAAATTGCTACTCTATCAGACTGGGCCTAGCCATCTTCTTACAACTGGGCCGAGCATGTCTGTCTTGTATTCAAGCACTGCATTGTTCCCTTCATTATCGAATGGGCCTGTTTAAAAATTTCGATTCAAATTCGTTTTCGGTCACATTGAAAAACGAATCGATGCAAATGTATTTATTGTTTTAAATTTCAAAACTTAACCAGACCCTTAAAGTAAGGTGATATCTCCTAACATGAGTTAGTGGTTCTTCTTATTCCACACGACGTCAAGCTAGGGTGGACGGTTTAAAGGGGGAGTTAAGGGGGTAGGACTTGTGGTCGAATATATATATATATATATATATATATATATATATATATATATATATATATATATATATATATATATATATATATATATATATATATATATATATATATATATATATA